GTGAATTATGTCGTATAATTAGCGAGTTATTAATTAATTAGTGATGGGACACAAGGTGTCACTATGGAGTAAGAGCGCTGTTTTGGGGGATCCCCTAACTTTCGATCGATAAGTCTCCGGGCTCTGACCGATATTCTCGTTTATTACTTATCGATTTTAATCGGTAAGTATGTTGATAGGTATTTGTATGTCTGTTTGTTTGTCTGTTAGATGCACGCGATATCTCACGAAAGCAAGATTAAATCTGCTCCAGATTTTGCATGTGCATTCATCGTATCTCGGACTAGAAGCCTATTGATTTTGGGTGAATTATGTCGTATAATTAGCGAGTTATTAATTAATTAGTGATGGGACACAAGGTGTCACTATGGAGTAAGAGCGCTGTTTTGGGGGATCCCCTAACTTTCGATCGATAAGTCTCCGGGCTCTGACCGATATTCTCGTTTATTACTTATCGATTTTAATCGGTAAGTATGTTGATAGGTATTTGTATGTCTGTTAGATGCACGCGATATCTCACGAAAGCAAGATTAAATCTGCTCCAGATTTTGCATGTGCATTCATCGTATCTCGGACTAGAAGCCTATTGATTTTGGGTGAATTATGTCGTATAATTAGCGAGTTATTAATTAATTAGTGATGGGACACAAGGTGTCACTATGGAGTAAGAGCGCTGTTTTGGGGGATCCCCTAACTTTCGATCGATTAGTCTTCGGTCTCTGACCGATATATACTACAACATATACAGAGCAAAATCCCCCCCTCTCAAGAAAGAAGAAGATAGAAGTACTTCCTAGAGAGGAATTCCTCCCCAGTTGGAAAACGTTGAAATAAGCGTTGCTAACAGTTAATATTACCCTACGTGGAACTCTTAATGATTCATAACAATCTCATAATGAAGAAAAATATTTTTAAATTTTCCTCGTGTTCTCAACAAAACTTTTTCAATTACCGTTCACTAAATAATAAATGGATGATTCATAAAATGTTGCCCCTCAACTTTTAACCTGCTAAACGGTAATTCAGTTTGAGTACTTGCAACTGTGAACCACTCTTACCAATGCTCGCCAGAAAGATTTTCCAAATATTGTTCACTGAATTATGAATGGAAACTACGCAAATCAGTGTTGTATGAGAGTGACGAATGAAACATTGCCCTTAACTTGCGGTCAAAGAACTTTTAACCTGGTTAACGGTACTCCGGTAAAGTGTTAATTATCTATTCGTGAACGAAAACTACTCTTAACAACCGGAATTTCTCATTTACCGTTCACTAAATAATGAATGAATGACTAATTAAATGTTGCCCTCCACTTATGGTCAAAACTTTTTTAACCTGCTAAACGACACTATGGTAAAATGATAATTAAATACCTGCATCGGTAAACCGCTTTTATCAAGACTCGCCACAAAGATTTTCCAATTAACGTTCACTGAATAATGAATGGAAACTATGCAAATAAGCGTAGTATATGAAAATGACTAATGAAATATTGCCTTCAACTTTTGGTCAACGTACTTTTAACCTGCCAAACCTGTATAAAATATGCACATATGCACACGGAGACCACTCTAAAGTATCAACTGAGATAAATATTACTGTATAAATATTCTGTATTTCTGATGACCTTATCTGTACGCCAGGGGTAGACAATTATTTTTTAAAATGGGGACCCTTTTTCGTAGAACTTGCGTTACAAAAACTCTCTCAGAATTTAACCTGAAAAGTATACGAGCGGAACGTATAAAAACCACCACCGGGCTAGACCAACCGTTATAAACCTCGCCTTCTTGTCTATCCCTCCCTATAAGCGTTTGTCTGCTTTATAATTTTGGAACATAAACTTTTATTTTTGATTTCTAATAGATAACACCAATGACATTAAGGCAGACCAAATTGAGGAACATTTTCAGTGTGCTCGCCACGAAGTTTTTTCAGTTAACCTTCGATAAATAATGAATAGAGTATCTCCTTACATGGTGGTATAAGTCAGTGGTTTCTTGCACAGATTCTTGTTCGGAGACGGGGTTAGTATTACGCACTGTATTTTTGATGACTGTGCCCCTATGATATAGATCAGGGGTAGGCAAGGTTTTCAAATCAGGGGCCAAAAATTTTGCCCATATTCACCGGCGGGCCATGTAAGTGTGATGAAGAAAGTCAGATTTTATGAACAATAGTTACAGTGTTACAAAAACAACTGTGGAAAACAATAGGCCTCGTGCCAAATTTAAATTTAACCGCAATCAACAAATTCCTTGAGTTACTTTTAACTTGGTTTCAGTTTGATTGTGGCATCATCAGAGGCGGGCCAGATTGAATTACCCAACGGGCCGGATTTGACCGCTGGCTGTTTTTACCCATGTCTGATATAGATGGACAGCGTTTTTGCAATGGGAATACATTTTCTATTCAGCTCACGCCAAAATTGCGATACAAAAATCTTAAACCAGAAAAAGTACACAAGCTAAGAACGAAATCTTTACAGACCATCACAGGACCGGGCCGACCATCATAAACACCGCCTCCCTATATACTCCACCTAACAGATATTTGTTTGCTTTATAATTTTACAGATTTAACATTTATTTTGATAACCCAGAGATAACACCAATGGCATTAAGGCAGTCTGAGTGTAACATTTTCAACAAGTTCAAAACATCAATTATTAAAACTCCAATTTCTCGAAGAATTGAAGAAGGTTACAGTACAAAACATTAAGTCGACGCGGTAACATAAATTAACATAAATTTAATTTCAGAGTGACGTTGATGGACTGCGAATAACGACGAACATAACAGGCAGTGGTTCTCAACCTTATATAACTCATGGCCCCTCCAAGGGTTTTCAGCACTCGTGGCCGCCTGTTTGTCATTACAATAGTATTTATCGTGTTATTTTCATTGGCAGATTACGAATTCCAGTCTGGTCAAATAATTCATGCTCAACAAATTGAAAACACCCCGTGAAATAACCTTGTCAAGCAATTAAACTGAGAAAAACAGGAAACAGAAATCAGTTTTGCGCTTGGCATCGTGGCCGCCTCCTACTGCTGTGTGGACCACGGGCCCTCCGGTTGGGAACCGCAGTGATAGTTGGAATTGCAATACACAGTCGTGCGAGTTTACGTATCCCATGCAAACTGCGAGTTTAGATCTTTATAACTTCTTCGTGGTGATGCAGGGCTACCAAAAAACAGGACCAATTCTTAATTTCTCATACAAAAATGAAGAAAATTTATCTGACAATTGAACACTTGAACTTTGTGCGTGTGAGTATGAGTGTTTCATACATAGATGACTAGTATTTTACGGCTAAAACTTAATCCCAAAATTACACCTTTCCTGAGCTTTATCTCCCAATAACGAACCCACGCATTGACGTAATAGCTTGACGCTGATTTTAAACATTGTTTTATTACGAGTTCTACACGCCCTTCATGACAGTATTTGTATATTTATCCAGATGCATGGACTTGATGGTGGAGGGAGCCGTAACCGACCAGTTTTCGACTGTAAGAAGTAAGATAGATTACTGCTTCGCTTTGGTCTTCATGTCTATATGATGTGGACCTATTTCATATGTGATGTGGCTGGTATTGGGAGATCGTTGTTGCGCAATTGCCGGATTAAGCTTCAAATTTTTGATGTCATCCACCCCCATTAACATAATCAAAATACGACACAAAAGGATTTTATTTTGTTCAGTCTTTGACTATTTAAACATTATATTATTGCACGTTAAAATCAAGTTCTAGTGTAAAAACTATGCTAAGTACGTATGAAATATTTATTCTTGGCAGTAATCGTTCTGGACTAAGCTCCGGGAACGTTAGTCCTTCAGTATTTTTGTTACAACATTTTTGATGTGTGTAAGTGAAAATTATGATTCAATTCCATGCTTGGCTTTCGCAGTATCTTTGTGTAGAATAAGTCTTTGTGACCTTGGGCAAATGAATTGTAACTGTGCACAATATGAGAAGAGATGAATTTCAAACAAAAACCAAATGATAAATTGAGGAGTATGCAACCTTCCATACCGGAGTAACAGATACAAATACCAGGGTGAAACCGCGGGCCGCACCTTTATTCAACATAGGCTTTCTGGTAGTCGAAGGCACAAAAATGTTGTTATTGACCTTATGCTTTGTTTGCTTCGCACAAGTTGAATGGTAGGATATTGTAACGTCATGTGCATAGGTAATAAATCGGATTCAAATACAGACTTTGGGAAAGGAATAACACGCACGTACCAGATTAAACTAAATTAAAAACTGTTTTGCGGCCCGCACACTACTTAAAATTGTGACCTCTCCGAAGGTTGCACACTCCTCCCTGGGTTAAAGAAGACGATGGCCGGTTAGTTTAGAGAGGAAAAGCCAGGTTAATTCCGTCAACATTCTCTAACAATTATCTTCTAATATATATATATATAGAGAAGTCCTTTTAACTTCTCTCCAGACGAGTCAAGTCAGTAATTTAAAAAAGTCATAAAATTGATGCCTAATTGTTCAGAGCCTTTTCCAGAACGATAGAAAAACATTAATTAGTGTACCGTGTGGTGATAGAAATGCAAAACGATAATGCATATTTTGTGAAAAGATAGTCATCAAAATGCAAATGCAAAAAAAAATATACTCTATTTTGTATAGTGGAAATAAATTGTGTAATAAAGAAACGGAAACGACAAATTTAACTTGTACGTGAGCGCGATGGCCCACTTGTCAGGGCTTTGGATATAAGTATAATAAATTGCAGGCCACCACCTCACCAGGGTACAATAAACGAATGGCATGTAGTACACGGGGAAGTTTCCAGTTGTTCCAATAATTGCTGGTTTAAAGTGGGAAGATGCTTAAAATAAAATACCAAACAAGTTTGCCCTAAGAACGATGAAGGCATCGGAGACATTATTGATAGGAATATTGCAAATGATTTGTCGTTCACCAATCACCATGTACCTGCTTGATCAGAGTTTCGTCCAGAACGAACGATAAATATTAATTACCGTTCCGTGGTTATCGAAATGCAAAACTGTAATGCATATTTAGTGAGAAGTTAATTCAACGAAAAGTTCATTGCAAAAAAATTAAAATAAATAAATTGTGTAGTAAAAGAAACAAGATGGCCAATCATATTTAAGTGGACTCGATGGCCTCTGGTTGTCATATTAGAATTGCAGACTGTTAAAGTCCCATGCATATCGTATTTATGGTGTATCACACTGGGTAAGCGGTGCCTAGTCTCTACGAAAATAGTAACTCCTCACATAACAGTGGATGCTTATACAGAGCCTTGCTCTGAGTGAATGTGCAAGAAACATCGAATAAAAATATGTGTAAGCTTGTTCAAACAATGACGAAAGCATCGGAAATATTATTAATAGGAATATTGCATATGACCGCTAAAATGTTGGGTGCTAAGTGTGTTTTTATCAGTAGTGCAAAGGAAAGTAATAGTAGCGGTTAGCGTTGAAAAAGTCAGCTCTTCGAAAGAAAAAGCTTAAAGGGAGATTCCCTTTGATGGCAATAAATAGGGAATCAGTGATGGTTACGATAGGTCACATTTGTACAATTTTTACGTATTACGTATTTCACGTCAAGTATTGCTGGACCGTCGCACGATGGTTCACATACCTGCTGCTGAGTTGAGAATTTCCCCATGATAGTTTTTTTGTCTGAGACAATTAACTGTTACCCCTCGCCCCAAATCTGCAATTTGACATCACTTTACTGTCACGACATCACTTTTATTTGATGTTTACCCCTTTTTAATTTTCATTTTTACTGATCCGTTCTCTTCGGTCCAGAAACATCAGTATTACGTCACTTTAGTGTCGCGGCGTCTTTTCTATGACGTATCTTGTGTGACTTTTATTTTGAATTTTTCCCACATTGATCGGACAAAAGTATGTGCACCAAGATGGCGCACAACCTGAACATAGTATGTGTACCAGGTTAGGGTTCAGGTTGTGCGCCATCTTGGTGCACATACTTGGGAGCGCCCTTTGTTCTCCCCAAAACTGCATAGCCATGTCAATGTTTGTGCCATAGCGTCACTTTTATCGGCTTTTCTTCCATCAACTTTTATTTTTTGATAAATCCACTCTGCTGGCCCCGAAGCCTACATGGTGATACCACTTTTGTGTTATGGGCTTCAGGCATCATTTTTTTTTTACGTTCCCGTTGTTAACGTTCATTTTTTGATTAATTCACCCTCTCTTTTTCTGAAATTTGTATTGTGACGTCACTTTTGCATAGGACTTAAGACAAGACCTAGCTCGCTCCAAATTCCGCTTGGTGGTGTGACTTTAGTTATATGACGTCACACTATCACAAAAAAGGAATACGGACGCCATTTTTGTGTTATCGCGTCACTTTTCCTTGACGTTTTATTTTCATTTTTTTCTTGAATATTTAACATGCCCTTTATAGATCGTGCACCGCTAGACTCGAAGAAGCGTTCACAACAGTTTTCAAGTCGTGTGATGTGCCCCACGTGATGTAGGTGCGACGAGAAGAACTTTTTGTAGAAATATGGAAACAGGTCCGATACCAGACATTCGTAATTTCCCCTTTTCTACAAACTTATACATAACAGCAAAAACTGCAATCAAAACGACGGATAGAAGGTATAACGGCTCTGGCTGGAATACTAATGGTACCGCTATCAAATACGCTGACACAAGTATAGCCATGACTGCTGTTGCCGTGTAGACCTGAAAAGTAAGCAGTACTTTATTATTGTGGATCTTTCGTACAAAGCGCTAATGCAACGTTTCAAAATAACAAATTAGTAAATATCCAGTCGGGGTTAGGATTGATTCGAAATTCCAGCGCAATCTGCTCTTATTTTAAGCGTGGGGGATATTTTTTTTTTGGGGCGGGGGCTCTGAATAAAAGATTCTATTTATTTTTACCATACTGAAGATACCCTTATACAAACAAATATACTAAAGAAACATGGTGATGGCATTTCAGGATGAGGGGGGGGGGGGGGGTGCGCGAAAAACCAATACTGGTTAACGAGCATCGACACCCGCGATCCAATCTGACAGTAATTAATATAGGAGTGAAAAAAAGTTAAATTTCTACCATTGAAAAAGAGATCGTTTCGGTTAGCGTGTAGGTCAAAACCACAATGGAAAGAAAGATGGGGAAAAATATGTCACACTTATGGGGAATTCACACAATCGAAAGGAATTAAAGTTCGGGTCTAAAACCTTGTAATAATGTTATAAAATATAAATAGTGGAAAGTGACACGTATATGACAAATCTAATCGGACCGTTGATTAATTATTGTAGGTATTTTAGTCAATTCTCATTGCTAAGTTCAGAAATATAGGGTATAATAAAGTCTTGAAATTTTTTAAAATTGCAAAGGAAATTTATCGATAACATATATTGTTTTGGCCCTCTCAGATGTATTAAATGAAGTAAAAATACTTAACAATTACTGATCAAAAAACAACAAACTCGGTTAAGATATATTGAGAACTCACTTCATAACCAAATTAAATTTTTTTGGGACTTTATGGATACCCTATATGTCTGACTCTCCTGTGATTCTATTTCAGAGTTTAACCTAAAAACCCTCATAAGATAATACATCAATACATCCGCTATTCAAGTAGTGTTTGCCAGGGTCAATACAGAAAAATATTGCTATATCGACAGCGTTGTCGACCTTTTTTTAAAACCTTTATCCATAAAATTTGTATGGCACCATAGCGACATCTTTGAGTTAATAAAAAATATAGCTCTATCGACAGCATTTCAGACCTGTTTTTTAAATTTTTATCTATAAAATTTGTATGGCCCCATAGCGACATCTCGAGGTTAATAAATATCGCTCTATCGACAGCGTTGACAAATTTTTTTTGGAATCTTCCCATAAAATTTGTATAGCCCCATAGCGACTTCTCGATGTTATAACATTTGAATACTTACTTTATAAGGTCTGTGAAGGTCTTTTCGTTTCACTCTGAGATACAGAAGTCCAATGAACGAGAGACCTCTGAATCCCCACATGGTGAACAGACTGGCAGTGACAAGAACGTCGAAATTGCTTTGAAGAAGCATTAATGCACCCAAGCCCATAGATATTAAGATAGCCGGAACAGGAGAGTAGTAACGGACATGCGCCATGGAGAGGAACTGAAATATAAGAAAATAACATAACAATAAAAGTGCCCAATGCGTGCCAACGTTGGCATGAAAAGATCTTGGATTTGAGTCCTGTTCTGTCAGTTCGTGTTCAACACCTCAATCTGGTTGTAATAAATTAGTTAGGCAGTGCTGAACCGAGAGGATCCCGATCTTTTTAAAAATAGTAGAACTCGCCATAACACCGCAGTAGTGTGAATTCGGTCAGTAATGGCCTTGTGCGAGAATATAACGGGCTACCTATCGTAGCACACCCAAGCAACGCCCGACAGGTTATTGAAATAAAATTTGAACCTAAAGAACGCAATATGCATCTGGGATACAGCTACGCCATAAAATTTTAACAGTTAAAAAACAATTGCTTCAAGAAGTAAAATGCAACAACAGTATGAGCTCCACCATACTACATGAATATGGGCTGCTCACTGGCAAATGACCCCCCCAAAGAGAGAAAATAACTTTTGAACAAAGCGTCTTAGATTGCCGAAACTTTTGGGTATATTCATACATATAACCGGAAGTTGAAGTGTTAAATGAATTTTGACCATTTTCGTGGAGGTAATTAGGACATTCTGTTTCGTTTGGGATCACCCTGTATATCCCTGATTCTCGATGTCGGTGGCCTTAGTAATTGAAATCACCATAAGTAACACAAGAATCTCAAACCTCAGGCATATGTCCGAGTCGCCCCGCTACAAATGGTACCCTTGCCGTAGCCAGGAAGTGTCCGTTGATTGATCCAATCAGAGACATGCAAACAGAAAGCGTCATCAAATAGGCCAGGAATGGGTGAACACGCTGGCCGAATGTAACCGCTACTGCATGCGAGGATAACATCTCTGAAGGTGTCAAAACTGAAAGAGAAAGGAACATATATTTAGATAGATCTCTGGAATGAAACATACTTTCGGCCTTTCTATCTGTTATTTGTATCTCATTTTTAGCTAGTTATTTTTGAGGCCATGCGCGAGACTTGACGAATTCTAAAAAAAGAGCGCGACTAGAAAAGTTTGAGAACCCCTGTTCTAGAAAGACTCAAAATATCATACCAGCGATTCTCAAACATTCACGATTCGTTTCCCGCTTCCAAAAATCCCTAACGCTTGCGGCTCTCTGCACTTCGATAAAACTGCTTAGTTTTGCTTATAACGCGTCTCCATCAGTTAGTTTATGCGCCACGTTTTCAATTGGAATCAAATAAAACAAGAAAAAAAAAATTTGCATAGCAGTCAAAGTCTTAAACCAATTGATGTAGTACCTACGGCAAATGCCCTCCACCTATATCTATAAAGAAAACTCCCATTTATTTGTCTTTCTGGTAAGCAATTACAGAATTTTCAAAATGCAGACTATAGTCGGCTGGAATTTGGGACGGTAAATGTGCCTTACTAATCAAATTGGAATGAATTAAGCAATACAAATGTGGTTCAAGCAGCACTATAAATGCCTTCGATCGTGTAACCCCCCTCTCCGTGACCCAGTTTGAAACACTCACCTGAAAAATATGCCACGTTCACAATCATGTATAACAACGTTACCACCGGGACAGCGATGATTGTTATAATCGGCAACGACCGTGAAGGGTTCTTGACCTCTTCAGTTACGATTGTAACAACTTCAAACCCATCATACGCCCATAGTCCTTGATATATTGCCAAACTTATTGCGCTTATCCCGACTCCAGTTGAGACTAAATGACTGTCTCTAAAAAGAATGAAAAATTAAATTGTAAATATGTAAAAGAAGGTATTTTAGTAGAAACGCAAGCTAGAGATTAGTGTTTATAGTTATTGAAAAGTGAAGTGACACCGGTACTGCCGTAAATCGAAAAATTGACCATTGAGTACTAGACCCACTGATTGGAAACGATTTGCCCGGTCTGAACCCACCAAAATTAAGACGAAGCAAAATTCTCTAAATTTAGCATTCGAGCAAAGAGCTCTAAGTTTAACTACTAAAAATTATATAATTGAATTCAGTTTAATAATAATTTTTGACTCAAGGTTTGGTAATAAAAACGAATGCATTCCTTAATAGACCATTGATAATACAGCCTAATAAACTTGATGTTTTTTTGAGTTTTGATAGAATTTTTCGACTAATTTTATAACTGTGATGAAATTGCATTAGCGTCGCCTATTGTGGCACCATCCCCGAGCGATTTGAAGGCAAAGCGTGGCAAAGCGAGGGTTTTATTTGGATAGCGTGCGTCAAGATTGCTACATCTTGTAAATTCTTCTTTTTCTCGTTTTAGAATAGCAGTGATGCTGAAGTTAATAATAAAAGTCTAAACGAGAAAATCGGTCGGAGACCGAAGACTTATCGATCGAAACTGCGGTTTCGATTCATGACTCTATAGTGACACCGCGTGTCCCATCACTAATTAATCAATAACTCGCTAATTATACGAGTTACGAGTACGACTAATCATCCAAAATCTATAGGCTCCTGGTCCGAGATATGATGAATGCACATGCAAAATTAGGAGCAGATTCAAAGACGCCATCGTGAGATATCGCGTGCATCCACCAGGCAGACAGACAAATACCTATCAACATACTTATCTAAAGATCGATAAGTAAAAACGGTCTAAATGAGTTTCTCTTGAATGGTTTTACTACAATCACCATAATTTCTACACTGATTGTCGACTGAGGGGAGTTAAAATATACGATTCGACTCCAGTGAAAACATGCAAAACTCCTACTCCCGACCCCTGTTCGTATAAGGACGCGAATAATGAACTTGTTATTTTCGAATGCCAGTTGCCTATTCTCCAATTGCAAAGCTCAAAGATACCGAAGTAATCCGTTGCTCGGATAGAAGAAAGGATACAATATTTTCTCACGGCGAAACTTTCTCACGGAGCGATAGATATGAAATTTAACAACGAACTTTACAAACCGCCATTACAAAATTGCCAAATCGACATCTGGATCGAGATTGCAAACCTAAAAAGACGGTTTTGCAGTTTTTATGATTTTTTTGTAGTTTTAGGTGGTTTTTGTATTTTCTATAAGTTTTTCGGGAATTTACCATTCACAGTACTTGTGGACTGCTATACAAGTGTTAATGCAAGATGAACGTATCGGCTTGGTAACTTTACATCTTTCGTCTAACCTCCCTTCATGAATGTTTAAATTAATCCGCTCAAAAAATTTGGAAATGAGAAAACTGGGAATGTTTGAAAACGACTTATCCGCGCGAGACATCACAGAGAATAACAAACACTAAGTTTATATGTGTCTACATACTTTAATATTCTTCGTCGCCGCCAAATTATATTTGCAATATATTATGAATTATTTAGTTTTAGCTGTTTGAATATTTATAATATTTATGATGAATTTGATCATAATTTTAACCGAAAATGTAATGGCGAGCTTGCCAATTCAGTCAGGTAATGGCGACGGCCTAATTCATCGATTCTCAACCAGTGAACATTGTATCGTTTTGGTAGTTTTGCGTGGTATTTTACAGTTTTTCGTTGCGTTTAAATTTTTTACAATGATAATCTATAGGGATAATCTTTCAGGGAACAAGAGTCAGGTAAATGTTTGTTTTATTACCTTTCAGTCAAGGAGCTTGCGTTCGCTGGTCCAGGCATAAAATTATTTCTGGCAACGGTGCTGTCTTTCAAAAGTTGAATAAATCCGACTGTTGATATTCCAACTAGTGCAACGACTTTTCCGAAAGCACAGAAAATCTGAAAAGAAAAATGGAGTTAATTTAATAATCAAGTGAGACGGGTGAAGCTAATACTATGGCATGATATCTATCCCGAGCTAGTACCACAGTCACGGCTGCCATCGATATGAACCCAAAAATAAGGACATCCGGCATACATAATAACAAGACAAGCCGGTAGGCGCACAGGATATCCGCTGATAGTTGAGGCCCTCACTCGGGCAACCGGTTACCATCTATAGAAACTTGCGCAGTTACCGAAATTGCCTGTTCATTTTGAACGCTGTGCGTCTGCTTTTCATCGTTGCGTGAGGAATAAAATGTGGCTAATTATTGAAACATGTTCACTAAAATTCCTAAGGCTTCGCCAGTTTATAGAGTATCGAGATGAATGGCGGCTTGTTAGACAAAGCACTTTCCTCCGCAAAAGGTAGCAATCTCAGAATTTTAATTTTCGACTTAATTTACGAGGAAATTGCGAAAGAATGTAAAAAAATAGAAATTTCTCCACAATCGGATGTTTTTTGCTTGGTGCCATGGAAACGAAACATCAATCCAGCCTTTCGAGGAAACGCATATTACTAGGATGATAGGTTAACCTACATGAGAAATTTCATCCAAAATGATCTAGCCGTTTAGAGGCTACATCTAAACAGATAGACAGATACGCAGACAGACAGAACGACTGAGAATAAGGGTCTCCTATAGAGCGGAGATCCAATAACAAAGAACGAAATGTAATAAACAAAATGTATTCATGCCAGTATAAGGCACGACCCGTGTCGTAACATTTCATAGCAAATCAAATTGTTCGAACTGTCGAATATCCGGTATAAGAGACTCTACTCCTAAAATAAAACAACAAATAAGAACAAATGTCAAAATTAATACGTTTCTAGGGACAAAAATATTTCTAAGACAAAACCTTCAAAATAAAGGCAAATTTTAGAAATAAGGACGTTAAAGCAGTCTTGACTATAGTGTAGGATTTGCCACACTATAGCATGCGATTTACCCCAATGTGGTACTATATTGAGTAATACCGCCGCATTCTACATATAAATAAGGATTATAACTTGTTTCTCAATCCCTTTTAGCTTGAAACTGATCACACGCTATAGTAGCACCAAGGACTTGTCATTACAGCAAGACCATAATATTCTTAATGTTACACGGCTTTCATTGGACATAGTTACAACGGGATTCGCGCTCTTCCTGCATATTTAGCGTGGTAAACTTGTTTGTGACAATGGTGAATCGCGCTGCATTAGTTACAGCCAGTGGTGGGATTCAACCGGTTCTATAGAACCGTCTCACGAAATTTTATGAGATCATCGAACCGGTTAGCATTACTGGTTACGTTCAATGTTCTGTTTGTACCAGAACATGCTGAAAAATATAACTTTTGTGAAGTAACCGGCTGACAAAAAATTTGAATTCCACCACTGGTTACAGCCTCTCTTTAAATTATCTTGCATTTGTTACTGAATTAAATAGACAATTATATTATTGCGTTGACTTGGTTGATGAAAATGCTGCGGCTGGGCATGGACACCGCTATTCATTTTAGACTTGGTATTAACCTGGTTAGGCAGTTCAATCTATTTAATGCGCAATTTGGTTGTTGAGAAATGGCACAACACGCCAGTGGTTAAATAAAGAACTATTTCAAATACCAATTCAGATTTCCACTAGTTCTTAACACCTTACCAAAATTGTGAAAATCGCCCCCCGACACCCCCCCCCCCCACATCTCACCCAGGGTGTAATAAATTGGAAAGACACCGAACTGGAATTAATCCGGTAGTTTCATATAATAATAGCTTTCTTTTCGGTGGCCTTGTTCGGAGCGTCGCATGAAAAAAAGGAAAATTACCTGCAGTCTGACGGCCCATTTTACTTTCGTCATGTTCAACACCATAATCACCAATGCAACAGAAACGCCGAGTAACTTCTTCAGCAAAGTCGCGTTAGGAACTTCACATTTCCCAGCCTCAAAGTACAGTCTTGTCATGTATTCCCCGAGCGCTATAAACTGCGCAGCTAATCCCTCGGGTGCCGATACAACCACAGTCATCCAGGTAAATATAAATGATAATAGCGGTCCAAAGGAGTAGTGAATAAAAGTCATCCATGACCCTGATTCGGGTATTGAAGCCCCCAGTTCGCAAACACATAATGCTGCCAGCATTGCAATCAAACCTCCGATACCCCAGATTAGAATACTTAGTTTAACGTCCCCGTCACAGTATTTCAAAACTCCAGTTGGGACGACAAAAATCCCTGATCCTATCATGGTGCTTACGACGAGACAAACACCAGAAAAGATTCCAATTTCTCGTTTTAATTTGATTAGAGATTTCTTTTTTATTGTTGGACTTTCGCTAGAATGAGTCCCCGAATCGTCGTCACCTGAAGACGAATCTTTAAGTGGTATCTTTTCATATTTTGTACGATTGTTTCGTAAAGTCATGGATGTTATTTGCTGTTCAAAAGCCGCGACTCTCGTCAATCTTGCACTATAAAACTTGCAATTGAATTAACCATCTGGTCCTCTTGCCGATTTTGAACTATTAAACTCTCTATTCAATTGATTAATCTGAATATTTATAAGCAAATCTGTTAGATAAATGGTAAAGGGAATCATATTATATGGGTATGGCTCTGTTTCAGTGAGAACAGGTCATGCATGGATGCAATGTAACAGGTTTGTCGAACGTTCTGAAGGTGATTGAGATTTTAATTTGCAAACGACCCAGAAGAACACTTTCAGGCATTGCCAACACGTCGACCGCCATCGACCGGTCGATTGCCACGTCTTGAGTAGTCAATCGCGTCTGAGGTTGATTGAATTTAATAACATACACTTGAAAATTGACTTGAACTAGTTTCATGCAGCGCCTATTTTGTGTTTTGAAAAATGACGAATACAGTATTGTAGCCTACAAGCGCTACATATGATATACACATACAGTATTTAAGTCTGGGAAAGCCCCTTAAAGCATATCATTACGTAAAAAACGATTTATTAAAAATGCGCACACAGAGCCGAGCTTGGCCGCAGACGTTTTGTTTGCGCGTGTGCAGTTATCTGCATATTCAGTACCCATTCGTTTTTGTGTACGACCTTTTTATCGATCAGTCGATCGCGAGCTATTATTAACATTTTAGCCGATCGCGGTCGAAGGCTGGTTGGCCACCCCTGCAATATAACATCTACTATCACAGTAAAAATTAACGGTTAATTAACACATCGCTTTCTATATTTTGACTTGGAAGTTCGCAAATGTTCATTGCAATGAATGTTTCAATAAACACCGCGTGCATCACCTGCGTAGTAATATTCTATTGGCCAATTTCTATTTTTTTTCTTTATACATAATACATAAAGACGGCTGACGTTCTCCATAAGAAATATAACAAATAACGAAAACCCGTGAGTGACGCTTGCATATTCTCAGATCGAGTAAAAACATCTAAAGCAGGGGTCGGCAACCTACGACACACGGAGTAATATAATCCGGCCCGCGACACTTCACTGATTATAGTAACAAAACAGCGTTTTGGGGCTGTTTTGGCGATTATATTTTTTATGTAACAGAATTTATTGTGAGACAAGTGTAGACACAAACTATTTCATAATAACCTAACAAGTATATATTCACAATTACTCGTTTAATGAGCCTATAGTTTAATTATAATTAGATAAACGCCACCAAAACACGGAAAGTTGATGCTAAGTGCAAGGGTTCAATGGCGCCGAAAATATTCAAATGGATTTTTGGACGTGCAATGCAATGAGGATATTAAATTTATATTCTATTTGAGAGATGTATCACTGCTTGATTTTTACTATAAAAGTATCATCAGTGCGGCCCGCCAGCGACCCTTAATTTTGGCCCGCGAGCGACAAAAGGTTGCTCACCCCTGATCTAAAGGAAGACTTGTTATAACACTGAGGACCGTGTTCTTAAATCCTATAAACCCAATTTCTTTTTTAAAGTTTGCGAAATACTTAATTTCAGTTACAGTAACAAAACGCTGTAACCATAACTGAAAGACTGGTCTCCAGCAGTAATATATCCCAAATTCGCTTCAACTATCTTTTTGAATGTCTTTAAGTTTAAATTTCAAATACCTAAATTGTTTCTACTTTATACTTTTGTGGATGCGCACGACCGTCGAGACGCACACGTCGTGATCGATCAACAAAACAATTCATCTTTGCAATTGATACTGTTAAAAATATTGTAAAATTATTTTGTCAGAATTGCGCTAATGATTTGGTTTCTGCGGGACTAACTACTTATCATTCTTCTATGTTTTTTGTGCCTCTGGTTCGTATGCATATAATGTAAGGATGCAGTAGCAAGGGTAAGTTAACTATCCTAAGTGAATCAAAAGTCCTGCTGCACACTAACACAAATATAATTCTGTAACGTTTCGAATCACTTAGGATTGTTCAGAATTGTTTTTGTTATTTACACCTGACAAACTACTTAAGATCGCCTAATAAACAATGCATCGACCCAACATCATTGCGTAGGAAGTCTGGATAAAAGATTTGCGGTCGATCCCGGTGCGCTGAGCCATACTACGAGAAACTACGGCCCGGGACCAAATCCGACCCACAGGTAATTCAATTCGGCATGCCTGACGCTGCCACAATCAAACTAGAATCAAATTTTGATGTTTTAGCTAAAAATTGCTTGAGAATTTGTTAAAATTGCGATTAGATTTAGTTTTGCACGAGGCTTATTGGTTTCCACTTTTGCTCTCGTAACACTGTAAATATTGTTCATAAAATGTAACTTTTTACGTCACACCTACACGGCCGTCGGTATAAGTGGGCAAAGTTTTTGGCCTCTGGTCAATATACCTAAGCATATTCTCGTTGAAATATATCGTAAATAGTGATGTACGTAAAACTTATAACTATTTATATACAGATATATAAATACACATTCACTATACAGATACAAATAGGAACGCAAGCATATATCGATTGATACATGACAATCATATATCACATATCGAAGCACAACGGATAAATAAAGCAACGGATAAATAAAACACAACGGATGTTATCAAAGTGATGTAATTTGCCGATGGTTGGAATTTAGATTTGGTGGAACCAATAGAAAAACTAAGAGCTATCATCATCATATCAAAAGCCCAATTCAATCAATTCTCATGCATGACCATTCAACATATTCACCCAATAGACCGAAAAGATTGTCACAGTGGTGAATATCTGGGGTCTTTCGAAGAAAGTCCCCGCCAAAAATAATACCCCGCTAACGTGGTGAGCGCAATGTGCAGAGCTCAAAACGTGGCGGGGGTGTCCCAAATCTCACATTTTCGCATTAGCGGCGTGGGCTTTCTACAACTAATATCTATTTAAACTATAACCTGCACGCAGACCGATAAGCTTGCCCCGACTTTCTCTGTCTAGATTGAAAGTCAATTCAAAATAGCAATTGCTGACAATGTTGACAGACAGAGATGAATTGCGTGAGTCAGAAACCTTATGCAATATAATAAGTAACTAATTAGATTCTGACATTGATTTGCGGCGTCAAACTTGTTATTACACCCGCTACACATTAAAGATCATTGAGTATTAGATTTGTTTTTATACACATTTATAGTATATTCCATTTAACTTTTGCGCAGCGGTCTACCAGCCTATGAAATGTTTTATTGGGGTTTTTCTCCACCAATAAGAAACTGTTCTATACGCTTTTCGCTCTAGGAAGCAGTCGATATGGGGTAGTATGTGAACCAAGATGGCGGACACCCGAACATAGTATGTGTACCAGGTTAGGCCATAATTTTATTCCAATTTTCCTTATTCTAGTTCTATTACGAGTTTGGGAACTAGCCAAGTGACTCCCGTAGTATTTGTGCCGGAATTTATTGCACACCCAAAACTAGGTATGATCGTAGATGATTAAGCAATAAGGAGAATGAGATTTTCATATTCCGAAAAAGAAATAAAAATCCAATATAATGTTCAACCATGAGAAAAACTTGAACGCCGATTCAAGGCAAACTAACACCTATTATCTGATTAACAACCAAGCTGATATAAAGGATTGGCTATGAGAAATGTATGACTAGATAAGTACCATTAACATCACATTCGAAGCTTAGGTGTAAACCACGCGATAAAGGCTTCAAAATCCAGCAATTTCGTTTCGTGGCGATTGTCATCGTATTTTTGCATCTTTGATTACGCTACGAAATTGAAGCCTCCGGGGTTTATCAGGTGCAAAGTTTAGTCAGCGCAGAATTGTTTACGTTGTCGCCGATTGGTTTCGATATCCACGCGTATTGTAGGAGTACTGCACGCTGGTTAAGTTATTACACTGATGCAATAGCCGACTCGTACTATCTGCGAGAGGCCGCTGAGGTTGAGTTGTACATGTACCCCTAGCATGGGATAATTATGGAATGATGATCTATCGTATTAATCCCACGACGGTAAGGCCATACAAAACCTGTTTGTCTACATACGCTTAGATAAATATTGTCAAAAATTCAAGCAGCCGGCCAGAATAACCGACATTCACGCATGTCTGTTTATATCCTTCACAGTGCTTCTTTGGTAAGAAAGCTCATAGTTGCGGAAGTAATTATGCAGAAATGTATGACTAGATAAGTGCCTTTGACATAACATTTGAAGCTGAGACGTAAAACACGTGATAAAGGCCTAAAAATTCATCGATTTTCATACTCCGACAAAGAGATAAAAGCCAATAAAATATTCAACCTAAACCATCGCCGATTCAAAGCAAACTCTGTGACATATTATCCGATTAACAATCCAGCTGAAGTGACTATGCGGAAATGTATGACTAGATAAGTACCCTTAACATAACATTCAAAGCTTAAGTGTAAACCACGCGATAAAGGCTTTAAAATCCAGCAATTTTATTTCATGGCGATTGCTATCGCATTTCTGTACTTTTGTTGACGCTACGGAATTGAAGCCCTCGGGTGTTCATCGGGTGCGAAGTTTAGTCAGCGCAGATTTGTTTACGTTGTCGCCGATTGGTTTCGATATCCACGTGCATTGTACGAGTATTGCACGCTGGTTAAGTTATTACGGATGCAAGAGGCCGCTCGAGTCGAGTTGTAACCCTCGAATAAAATAAGCATGGATTGTTCATCTATCATATTATACAATAATCATTAAATGGGCTGCAGTTGTCATGATAACATGACCCAACATCGAAATTGGTTGTTTGAGTTATTGACCTATTCTTCTCGCCAAACAAACGCTGTTTAATTACATACGCTCAGATAAATATTGTCAAGAATTCAAACACTTGGCCAGAATATCCACCCTTCATGCATGTCGGTTTATATTCTGCCAAGTGCCAAGTCCATTTTTTGATAAGAAAGCGACCTTGGTTTTTTAGTTCGTCCAGGTATATACTGATATATTTTCCCTGCCAAACAAAACCTGTTTGCCTACATACACTTAGATAAATATTGCCAAGAATTCAAACACTTGGCAAGAATATCCGCCATTTATACATATCGATTTATATTATGTCCATTTTTAATAATAAAGCATGCATAGAACTTAATTCACTGCC